CGATCGTTCGTTTGTTCGGCTTGTCGGCTTCTTGGGGCCCCGGGCCGTGGCTCTCTGGCCCAGCAAGCCTCAGGCTCAAGCCTGGCCCCAGCCTTGCACAGCTTGCCGCACACCGCTGCGCCCGTGGGCCCACGGCCATGCGCTGCCGTCATTGGCTCTGGCCCGTGGCCAGCCGCGAGTTCCTCGCGGGCTTCTGCGGGGCACGGAGCCCACGGCGCAGCCGCCAGTTGGGCGGAACGGCCATTGTCGCGGCTGCCGCTGCGGCCTCCGGCGGTCTGTTGGCTGAGCGCCCGTCAGTCGGGTGCGAGGAGCGCCCGCGGCGATGGTGGTTGCTTTGGGCTGCAAGGCACCCTGAGCGTGGCGGTCCGCACGCAGGGGACACGGCGGAGCTTTTCACGGAGCTCCGCAAGCGCGTCTGCGCCATCCACGGACCGAAGAGAGCGCGAGAGCCAGGGGAGCACACGGCAGCCGACCCCCCGCCCGCGGACCTGGAGGATCTCCGCGAGGAAGACATGCAGTACCTGGGCAGCGGCTTCCTCTACGGCGAGGGCACGTTCGCCGTGACGTGCGCGCACCTGTTCGAGGGCCGCGCGCGCGGGGAGCGCCTGCTGGTGCGCCTTGGGGACGCTTGGCTCAAGGCGGAGCTCTGGGCTTCTGCTGCCGCCGCCGACGTGGCCATAGTGCGCCTGGCGCCCAGCTCGCGGCGCCCCGCGGCCCCTGGGCTCGAGTTGTCGGAGGCCCAGCCTCTGCCGCCGCAGGGCGGCTGGGTCGCCGCCTGCGGGCACTCGCAGTTCGGCCAGAAGCCGATCGGCGTGGTAGGTCTGGTGAGCCAGCCGCGGCAGTCTTTCCAAGGCCTCCTCGGCGACGTGGAGGTTGGCGGCCGACTGCTGCAGCTCGCGCTGACGACGTTGCCAGGCATGTCGGGGTCTCCAGTGGTCGACTCGCGCGGCAACGTCCTGGGCATGCTGGCCAAGAAATTCGAAGAGCACGGCCTTGCCATCCCGGCCGCGCAGGTGGCCCGCGCGGCTCGCGGCCTGGAGCTGCACAGGTCCTGGCGACCTCCCGTCCTGGGGCTCGAGCTCACAGCCGGCGGCACCCTGATGTGCCCCAAGGTGATGGTCCGCGCCGTGCACTCCGGAGGCGCCGCTGATTCTGCTGGCGTGCACAAGGGCGACTGGCTGCTGGCTCTGGAGGGTTGCCCCGCGGCGTCTGTCCTTGACGTGCGGGAGGCTCTGGGAAGCTTGAGCGGTGCCGAGGGCGCGACGGTGCCAGTGAGGCTGCGCATGGAGCGCGCGGGCCAAGTCTTCGAGGTGACGCTTCATGCAGAAGTTCCGCGCCAGGAGCGGTGGTGACGTGGCCGCTGGAGCTTCCCCGGCAGCGACTGCACTGACTCTCTGCCTGGTGAGCCTTCCTCCATGGACCCGATGAGGACGGAGGTGTCCTCGGCCACACTGCGGCGCTGGCCGGCGCGCAGGCGGCTGGAACGCCCCGCCGTCGCGGGGGCCTGAGCGTCCGAGGCGCAGTGCGGCGCACCATTCTGACGTCCCCCCCCCCCCCCCGGGACGACTCGTGCGTGGGCACCTCGGCCTTGTGCGGCACATCGGGTACCCATGGCATGACATTGAGCGGCCGCACGACCCTGAGAAGCACCGCAGCGGGTCGTGGGGTGTGCCCCCTGGCTCTGGGCGGCTGGTCCGGCATTGTCAGCACGACGTTGCGATCATGACGGCGGGCATGCCACGGATTTGGTTACCCTTGAGTCGCTCCCGCGCGTGCCGGGCTGAGGGGCATGCTGGCCGTGGGGCGTGCGGCGTACATGTTTTCGCCTCCTCCTCTCCTTCTCGCCCTCATTCCCCCCTCTCCGCCGCAGGCAGGGGTTGGCCAGACTTGCTGTAGGGGTTGACCTCCTTTGTCCCAGCTGTCTCACTTTCCGGACCAGGGCAAGTGTGACAACCATTTTCCGCCGCGGAGGTCGGGACACTCGGGGAAAGAAACACTTGTTGGGGTTCCAGTACCTTCCTGGGCCTTCCTTGGGGGCCATGGAGCTGTTTTGGAAGCCACGTGGAGGCCTGTCGGGGCCTTCTCAGGGCTGCCTCGTGGGGGTCTCAGGGCCCTCTTGGACCCTTCTTGGGCCCTTTGCTGGGTTCTGTTTGAGCCATGTTGGGCTACCTTTTGGGGCCTGATCTGAAGGAGCAACGGCGGGGACACCAAACGTAATGGCCATCAGCATACATTCTATGATTTTGCCATTCGTTTTTCGTAATCTGGGAGGCTTCAGGACCATCGCGGAGCCATTTAGGTGCAACTTGTGGGCATCATTCAAGCCATCGTGAGCCGTTTGGGAAGACATTGGGTCATCTTGGGTGGTGTTGGATGCTAGCTTGCACTAAACTGGGCGACGTTGGAACCATCTTGGGTGCCAGGGGGCTGTAGAGGGCACTGCAGGTGTGTCTGGGGGTCTCGGGACCCGGGGTCTCGTGTCCCGGGGCTCTGGATGATGTCAGAGCTCAGTCACCAGGGCGGGGGCGTCAGAAGAACAGATGGTGGTGGTGGCGATGACGATGACGTTGACGATGGCAACGACGATCACGATGATGTTGATGCTGATGCTGATGCTGATGCTGATGCTGATGCTGATGATTCAAGATGACGCTGATGACGGTGAGGATGCTGCTGATGATGACGACGATGGCGATGGCGATGATGATGGTGTTAGTGTTGTTGGTGTTGTTGTTGCTGGTGATGATGACGGAGGTGGTGGTGGGCTGATGGTGATGATGTCGATGAGGAGGAGGATAATGATGATGATGATGAGGATACTGATGACGACGATGATGATGTTGCAGATGAAGAGGATGATGATGACTACGATGCTGATGATGATAATGCTGGTGGTGATGCTGATGTTGATGATGATGGTGATGATGTTGCTGATGATGATGATGCGGATGATGATGACGACGACGTTGCTGATGTTGATGGTATTGATGATGCTCATGATGATGATGACGATGATGATGATGATGATGAGGAGGAGGAGGAGGAGGACGAGGAGGAGGAGGTCTGCCTCGACCGTGACGTGGCCGACATGGTCCAGCAGGGTCGCGGTCGCTAAATCGGAGGTGAGGGGGTGAGATCGAAGTGGAACGGAGAGCCCCCCTACCGGGAAATCGATTTCGGTTTCGTGTTCGTGCGTGCCGTGCGGGCGAGGCGAAGCTGCGTGGGCGGGCGAGAGAAAGTCTCCTGTGGCTGAGGCGCGGCCGGACCAAATGACTCCCTTCCGGGCGGCCGGGGCCCGCGGTGTCCCGCCGGTGTCCCGCTGGTGTCCCGTGTGGCTGAGGCGCGGCCGGACCAAATGTCTCCCTTCCGGGCGGCCGGTGGCCCGCGGTGTCCCGCCGGTGTCCCGCGGTGTCCCGCGGTGTCCCGCCGGTGCCCCGCGGTGTCCCGCCGGTGTCCCGCGGTGTCCCGCGATGATGATGATGATGATGATGATGATGATGATGATGATGATGATGATGATGATGATGATGATGATGATGATGATGATGATGATGATGATGATGATGATGATGCTGATGCTGATGATGATGCTGCTGATGATGATGATGACGATGATGATGATGATGGTGATGCTGATGGTGATGATGATGATGAGGACGATGATCATGATATGATGATGATGATGATATGATGATGATGATGATGATGATGATGATATGATGATGGTGTCCCGATGATAATGATGATGATGATGATGTCGATGATGATGATGATGACGATGATGATGATGATGCTGATGGTGTCCCGATGATGAGGATAATGATGATCATGATGATTATGTTGATGATCATGATGATGACGATGATGGTGTCCCGATGATGATGAGTATGATGATGTTGATGTTGATGATGCTGATTATGATTGAGTCCCGATGATGATGATGTTGATGATGATGAGGTTGATGATGATTATGGCGTCCCGATGATGATGATTTTTCTGATGGTGATGATGATGATGTTGATGATGATGGCGTCCCGATGGTGATGATGATGATGATGATGATGATGATGTTGATGCTGTTGTTGGTAATGATGATGATGGTGCCCCGATGATGACGATGATGATGATGCTGATGGTGATGTTGATGATGCTGATGATGATGATGTCGATGATGAGGATGAGATGATGATGGTGGTGTCCCGATGATGATGATGCTGCTGATGATGATAACGATGGTGATCATGATGGTGCCCCGATGATGATACTGCTGCTGATGATGATGATGACGATGACTGTGTCCCGATGCTGCTGATGATGATGATGATGTTGATGATGATGATGATGATGCTGATGATGATGATGATTGTGATGATGGTGATGATGATGATGATGATGGTGGTGTCCCGATGATGTTGATGACCGTGATGATGATGATGATGATGATGATGATAATGATGATGATGGTGATGGTGTTGATGATGAGGACGGTGTCCCGATTATGATGATGTTGGCGATGATGATATTGATGTTGATGTTGTTGATGATGATGATGATGATGATGATGGTGGCGTTGATTGTGATAGTGGTTGTGATATCGATAGTGAGATCGATAGTGAGACCGAAGGTGATATCGATTGTGAGATCGATTGTGAGATCGATAGTCAGATCAAGTGTGAGATAGATCGAGTGAGATCGATTGTGAGATCGATCGAGGGAGATCGATCGAGCGAGACCGATACTGAGATCGATAGTGATATCGATAGTGAGACCGATCGAGTGAGACGTTGGTTTCTCCCCCCCCCGAACCTCCTTATCACCCGAAGGGTGGTCGTATAGGTACTAGAAGGTAAACGCGCTCGACGGAGAGGGCAGGATATGAACGAGGAGGAGGAGGAGCAGGAGGAGGAGGAGGAAGAGGGGGTGGAGGAAGAGGACGACGAATGACAGGGAGAAGAAGGAGGAGGAGGAGGAGGTAGAAGAAGAGGAGTAGGAGGAGCTGGCGGGCGGCGGATGCGGGCCAGCAGCATCCCGTCCTTCTACCAGCTTTAGCCGTCATGAGCGCGCTCCATTGTGCTACGCAAGCGTTGTTGATCCTCCTACACTGACTTCTTTCTCTCTCATCCGTCGTCTTTCTCCTGCTTCCTCCTCCACATGCCAGCCATCCATGAGCCAGCCCCGAGCCGCCACCCCGCGCAGGCGCTCCGGCCAGCGGGTGGGCCGCCATGTCGCTGCCCGCGGATTGGACGAGGTACGAGACAGATGACGGCAAGGAATATTTCCACAATTCAGTCACCAACCAGACGCAGTGGGAGGCGCCGAAGATGGCGGACCCCTTGGCCTTCATCGCAGGCGGGGGCACTTCTGATGTATTCCAGTACCAGCCCTCCGCCATGGACCTGTCGGTGGCGCCGGCGCCGACCTCCACCACGAGCGCGCCCACTGGCAGCATGGTGGAGATGCAGCAGCGGGGCGCCTCTCCCACCGTCTCGCTGAACGCGGGGGCGGCCCCGATTGGTGCCATGAGCAGCGGCAGCGGCGCTGGGGATGGCGGAGCTGGCGGAGATGGCGGCGCTGGCGGCGGCGGCTTCATGAGCAGCCTCGGCGGCCTGGTCGCAGGCGCGGCCATGTCGGCCGTGGCCGGGTCGGCGGGCGGCCAGGCGGCCGGCGGCGGCGACGCCGGCGCAGGCTGCAGCGGCTACTTGTTGGAGAGGGCGCAGCAGCTCTTCGACGTGAGCACCAACGACGTCGTTCAGCGGCTTCGCATGGTTGTGCCCCTGAAGCCTCCGGACGGTGCCAAGGAAGACATGAAGGACAGGCCGGACTTCTACGGCCCCTTCTGGATTGCGACGACCGCGGTGCTCTTCCTCGCGGCCACGGGGAATTTTGCGAGGCTCATCCAGGCGGGCGACCACCGCGCCTTCCAGCCAGACTATGGGCTGGTCAGCCTCGCCGCCACGATGATATACGGGACACTCGGGCTGCTGCCAGCCGCCGCCCGCGGGGCGATCTTCTTCGCCGGCGACGAGGCCGGCACGGTGGACCTGCGGCAAATCGTGTGCGTGTGCGGGTATTCCATGGCGCCGATGATCCCGGTGTCCATGCTCTGCCTGATTCCGCTGGCGGGGCTCCGGTGGCTCCTCACGCTGCTGGGCACCGCGATGTCGCTGTACTTCCTCCACGGCCACCTGCTGACCGACATCAACGTGACGGCGCCGACCCCCAAGCTGATCCTGACGGCGGCGCCCTGCGTCACCGTGGCGACTATATTCCTGGTCTACAGGTTGCACTTCTTCTAGGTTCTAGGGAGCCGCCGGGCGGCCCAGCGGCGCGGCTGGACCCCACGCCGCCCCGACCGGGCGCCGGGCCGCACGGCTGCACGCCTCCTGCCGCTCACTCCCACGACCGCCAACAGCTCAGTGCACCCTTGCAGCCGCGGTCGGGCTGGAGGATCGCGCGGCGTGCAAGCCAGCGGAACAGCGAGAAAAGACAGCGTCAGTCCCTCCTCCCGCCTCCCTCTTCCCCCCCTTCCCTCCTGCTTCCCATCCATGCTCCTTCTCCTACTCCTCCTCTTCCGCCTCTTCCTCCTCGTTTTCATGCCCCTGCGCCATGTTCGTAACGTTCACGCCTGTCATTCTCCTCCTACCCTTCGTCTCCCCCTCCTCTTGAAGGAAGGGCCAAACCAGGCAGGTTCTGAGGATGTCTCAAGCGGAGCGCGCGGCCAAACCAAGTCAAACCGGGCCAAACCAGGGGCCAAACCAGGCAGATTCTCAGGGCGTCCTAGGCAGAATCGTCCAAACCAGGCTCCATCCATTCTGCTTAAGAATGTTTTCCATAAAGGAGTGCATCACCCAGGGACCCCCGCAGGCGGAAACCCGTTTTGAATCTTATGGGGGGGCGTTTGGATTGCGCGTCCGCTGATGCGGACGGGGTTCGGCGCAGAAGCCTTTGTTTGTCTTACGGGTGTGGTTGGCGCTTCGGTTTGGCGTTGGGAGATAGATTCCCGAACCTGCAGGGCACTCTTGGGCGCCCGTGGGCTGTCTTGGAGCTTGGGGCTCTCTTGGGCGATCTGGGGTCTCCTTGGGACGATACGTGGCCACTTGGGGCGGTCTTTGGGCCTCTCGGAGGCATGCTGGAGGCCATCTGAAGCCATACTGGTGGTGTCGTGCCTTCTTGGAAGCCATCGTTGGCTGTCTGGTGTTATCTTGGTCCAAAGCGGACCCTCTGCCTCCTCGCGGCCCCCCCGAGATCCAGACCCAGGAGAGGAGGTAGGGGAGGGGTATCAAGCTACCCCGCGTCGCAAGCCGCATCGCTCACCCTCACCCGCTCTCCAACTGCAGCAGTAGCACCCCTTAGTCTCTGCACCGGCAGAGGCCGAAATCGACAACCATCGGGAACAAATGCAGACGAGCAAACGACAGCCAGGTGCGCGATGCCCACGAGGTGCACCGCACGTGCCAGTTGCGCCACGCGTGCCAGGGACCCCACCTTGGGCAACAGGTCGGCCGCCCCACCATCCCCTGTCAAAAACCATGCTAAGTGACGGGGGAGTGCGAGCATTGAGTATTGCGTGTGGGTGTGCACCCACAATCACTCTGCATTTGTTTTTGACAGGGGTAGTATGCCTGCACACTGCAGGCAGTATGCCGCCCCCCCCCCCGTCCCTGTCAGAAACCAGTGCGAAGTGATCGCGGGGCGCCCGCGCACGGGTGTGAAGTGCGTGTTGTATGGCTGTCTTTGAAGTATGACTTGGGAGTGCTGGCGTTGCACACAGCAGGCAATAAGCCAGCCCCCCGACGCCCCTGCCAAAAACCAGCGCAGAGTGATCGCGGGGTGTCCGCGCATGATCCAGATTGTGGTGCAAAATGCATGTTGCATTGATCCCCACCCGACAAGTTGGGGTAGCTAGATTTCCAGAATAGGCCGTCCGGCCAACCCCACCCTGCATACCGCGGCCGCCAGACCCCAAGCTGTCCCTGTGATCCCGGGTATCCCGCCTCGCGCCCGGCCAACCCCGCCCTGCATACCGCGGCCGCCAGACCCCAAGTTGCCCCGATGATCCCCGAGAGTCCCGCCCCGCGCCCTCGACGAACACGACAGAACACGACATGACGGAACATAAAATGACAGAACATGACAGAACATGACAGAACATACCATGCCAATATCATGACAGAGTAGAGCATACCATAGCATTACATAACATACCAGAGCAGGCCATGACATAACAGAGGACGGCATAACACATCACATAACATAACCGAGCACACCATAGCATACTTTACCATAACAAATCATATCATGACACAGCATCGCAGAGAGCATAGCAACGACGAGCACGACATAACACAACCTGACACAACATAACACGACGCAACATAACACGAGCATGACAGACCATGGCATAACATAACATAGCACCGTCATGACAACATCGAGCATAACACAACATCACAGAGCATACCAGAGCAGAACATGACCTGACATAAGACAGCATAACACTACATAACACACTATTGCCGAGCATAGCATAATTAACACACCTTGACATACCATAGCATATCACGACACAGCACCACAGACCATATCATAACACGACAGCTGAGGACAGCGATGACGAACACGACAGAACACAACATGGCATAACATGACATGACAGAGCATAGTACGATCATGACAGAACATGTCAGAGAAGAACATAGCAATTCCATGACAACATGGGACATCACATAACATCACATAACATACCAGAGCAGAGCATTCCAGAACAGACGACGCCATATCACAACATAGCATAACAGACCCGAGCATAACCTAACACACCTTTACATAACAGATCATACCATGACAAAGTACCAGAAACTATACTAACACGACAGCGCGTCATAGCGACACATACTGGCAGAGCAAATCATGATATGTTGTACAGAGCCGGGCCGTCAACGAGCATAACATCACTACTATACCAGAGCAGAGCATGACAGACCAGCAGTTGACAGAACCCAACATTACAGGACCGAGCAGAACATACCACAACTTGTCAGAACATACCATAGCATGGGCCAGCATTACATAAACTGTCATAACTTCATAACACGACATCACAGCGTAGCGTCGACGAACATGACAGAACACAGCATGACGCAACAATAACATCAATGGCATGGCATCGTAGAGCATACCGTAACATCACAGATTATACCATAGCTGAACATGACAGACCAGCCGACGACATAACACAACATAGCACAATATAACTGAGCATACCATGCCACACCTTGACATACCATAGCATGTCATGACGCAGCATCACAGAGATTATCAGAACACGACAGCAGAGTATAGCGACGACGAACACGACATAACACAACATGACACAACATATCATAACAGAGCATAGCACCAGCATGACAGAGCACGACAGAGCAAAACATTGCAATGTCCTGACAACGTAGAGCATACCATAAAAAGCACAGAACAAACCTGATCAGACCATGACAGAACAGAAGACGACATAACACCACATTGCATAACAGAGCCTATCATCCACAAGGAACACCTTGACAGACATATCAGATCATGACACTTCATCACAGACTATTGCGTAACACGGCAGCAGAGCATAGCGACACATACCGGCAGAGCAAATCATGATATGTTGTACAGAGCCGAGTCGTCAACGAACATAACATCACAGAAAATACCAGAGCAGAACATGTCATAACACACCATAACGTAACACAGCAAATCATAACATAACGCACTTTGACAGAACGTATCATAACATGGTTCAGCAGCGCACAGCATACCATAACACGACACAGAACATGGCAATGCATACTACCAGAGAAGATCTTCAGACGTGGTTGGAGGAGGACCGGGCCTGTCGGGAGACGCCCGCCCTTGAGCGCGCACCAGACGCGCCTTCGTACGGTGCGCTGCGCAACCTGCGGGTCTCGAAGCGGCACGTTCGGAAGGCGATCGCCGCGACTGGAAGCAGCGCTCCTGGGCCGGATGGCATTCCATATCGCGCTTGGAAACAATGTGGGGAACTCGCCGTAGACGTTCTCCACGAGGCTCTCGTCGAGTTGAGCGGCGAGGACGCGGAGGAGCTTCTCCAGCGCCACATGCCGAGTTTCAATGTGAGTCTTTTTTCCCAGGAAGGCGACTGGCATCACGGGTAACGGGAAGGAGTACTTTCTGTCCAGGGGCGTCCGTCCTCTCAACGTCACGAACACGCACAACAGGCTCCTGGCAAGCGCTGCGAATATTGCCTTGGAACCGGCGTTGGCGCCGTTACTTCAGCAGGATCAGGAAGGGCTTCTTCGCGGGTCGTTCCATGGCCTCCAACCTGCTGGACACAGACGAGGCAATGATACTGGCAGCTGCTGAGACGGAGGGGGACTACGCGAGTTTCTTTGATTTCGCTGTGACTTTCCCTTCGATTGGACACGAGTTCCCCCATTAGTTCTTATAGTGGATGGCCCGCCTGGCTGCGCGGTTTTGATTCCTCAGCGTCGGAGGCGGCCGGCAGGAAGGCTTCGGCCACTCCCGGGGCCTCAGGCATGGCTGCCCGTTGTCACCTCTGCTCTTCGCGGCGGCGGCGGATCTCTACGTCCGCAGGTTGAAGCGGAGTTTTCCTCGCGCCACGTTGCGAGCTTGGGCAGATGACCTAGCGATGGTGCACCGGGGCGCCCATCACGTGGGAGATCTTTAGGCCTTCTTCGACCAGTTTGCTCGTGTCTCCGGCTTGGCCCTGAACGTGCCGAAGACGGCGCTGGCGCCGTTGGACTCGAAGGATTTGGCATCGACGCGCTCCGACTTGACTCGCGCGGCCCCAGGCTGGGGCGGATTGGAGGTTGCTGCGAGGGCCAAATATTCGGGCGTCTACGCGGGGCCAGGACGGAGAGAGCTTTCTTGGAAGACACATGTGGACAAGCTCTTGGCACGCACTCAGTCATGGGGCTGGCTTGGCGCAGGGCTGCAGTTTTCGCTCCATGCTTACAGAGCACACGTAGCTTCGGCGTTGTTCTTCGCGAGGCAAGTCGAGGCCTTGCCAGAGGACTGGACAGACTGGGAGAAACGGGCGTGTTCAGCGCTGATACTGGGCCCCTCCGACTGGATGAGCCCTGGTTGCTTGAAGGAGTCGACAACGTTACGTGTCTCCATCGCCTTGAAGGGCGTGGCGCGAACAGCCATCGCGGCAAAATTCCGGGTGGCCAAGTGGGGGGTTTCCGGCGAGCTCCGCGCCCGCGAGCGCGCCCGCGCACTGCAGGGCCTTCGCTGCCCCGTGGCCCACCTCCCTCGACAGAGCGGCTCGGTTGCGTGGCTGGCGCGACCGGGCGCCCCAGGTGCAAGTCGCCAAGGCAGACGACCGCGTGAGCGCTGCCAGGAGAGCGCTTGGCCCGCGGCCTGAATGGCGGGAGGAGCGCGCTCGCTGGCAGATCAGGGCCCCTCTTCTCATCGCGCCGGCACGCAGCGGGGAGGCGCTGCGACATTGGCGACGGAAGCTGGACAGATGGCCGCTGCAGCTGCTGCCGGGGCGGCGGCCGCGCAATGCCAGCCCCGCGCCCTGGCGGCGCGCGCCCGGCCGCGGCTGACTGGCTGGGGCGCCAGCCGGCGCTTCCACGGGGCGTTCTCTCTGCCGCCTCGGCTGCGAAGGGCGCCAGGGCATCGTCGAGCACCTAGCCAGTTGCCCAGCCCAGCGGCCCCTGTTCGGCCGCGTCTTGTCGATCGAGCCGGCTCCGCGGGAGCGCGCACTGGGCCACTTCTTGCAGCTGGGGGGGGCGCCGCCTCCGCAGCGGGCCAGTCGGGAATCCGAGACCGGGCCATCGGTGTTTGCGCCTTCTACCGGCGCTACAACCACGGGCGCTGCGGCGATCTGCCGGCAGCGGACATCGAGGGGGCCCCCGCGGAGTACCTGCGGGAGGGCCGCCGGGGGCAAGGCGACTGCCAGGCTGACGGGGCGCGGCGATTGCTGCATTTGTCTCGCATTTCTGTGTCAAATTATTGGTCCTTGTTTGCCCGTGTTGCTTGGGCGGCGCGGATGGCCCGTGGGGCTGCTGCAACTTCTTGCAAGTTCGGCGCCCGTTCTGCTTCCTCTTCCCCATTCTCCCCCCCCTTGCCTCGCCCTCCCCCTCGGCCGCCGCGCCGCGTGGGAGGCGCAAGTCGCGGCAGATTTGAAGGGCGCAAAATTTGATTCTTCCGGCGCTCCTGCTGCGGCCCCGGGCTCGGGCAGGGGGGGCGGGCAATTCCTGCCCCCCCTCGAACGTCGCGGACTCGGCGCGCGCGCGATGCCCTCTTGGCGCTGTCCCCGCCGCGTGGCCGATAGCATAGAATCGCGCGCTGCGAGGCCCGCCAGAGTGCCTCGTCGACGGGGGCGGCCTTCTTCGAGGGAAGATGCGGCTGCCCCAGGCCCCAGTACCAGAGCGCCAGGCGGGCGCCCTGGACGCCGGGCATGCGCGAGCTCTAGCGCCTCATTTGGCAGACAGATCCCCCCCCCTCCCCCTGCGCCCCCCCCCCTCCCCTCTGCCCCCCCCCTCCGCGCGGAACGCGCGCGGGGCTGCGCGCCCTTTGCAGGAATAGGCGGTTGCGCCGTCTGCGCGCGGAGGTGGTGCAGGACTGGGCCGCCCGGGGTCGTCGGCCGCTTCCCGCGCTGGGAGTCGCCGCGAGGCCGTTCTGTCTTGGCAGGCTGGCCGCCTGCGGCATCGGCCATCATTCGCGGGCTGCCCGTTTGAGTCGCCAGTGGAGTGCAGCTTTCGGCTGTAGGAGCGTGGATCCTCGGCGTTGCGGGTTTGAGCCCCTCGCGATCGCCCCGTCCGCTGCCCCTTTCTTCTGTCGGCGAATGCGCGCAGCCAGCGTTGGCGAGGGCATGTGCCGAACGCTTCATTTTCCGTTGCACCCCCCCCCCCTTTCCTCTCCGCGGCCCCGCCGTCGACTTGACCGGGCCCCGGGTTTGTCGGCCCCGCTTGCGACCGGCAGGGAGTTGAGAGGATGTGCTATGCACAGTATATATTTGATTGTGTGCGCGTCGGGTCTTCTTCTGTCGTTTCGGCCGTGGGGGGCGCGCGCGCAACGCTCGCGCTCCTCTCCCCCCTGACCCTCGCCCCCCCCCCCCCCCCCTGATGGCGGCGGCGCTTGCCCGGCCAGCCACATCGGGGCATTGGATTCCCGCTTTCGGGCTTCAAAGTGGCGCGAGCCCGTGTCCTTGCTTTTCGGCGGGGCGATCGTAGCCCCCCGCGAGGCGAAGCGGACTCGGTGGCCCATCGAGCTCTAGCGGGTGGGATATTAGCAGAGCATACCAGACAATATTCTACAGAACCGAGCCGTCAACAACACAGGACATCACATAACACACCAGATCATAATAGCACAGAACAGAAGACGACATAACATAACATGACATACCATAACCGAGCATGACATAACACACGATGACACAACACATCGCATGACATCATGACAGCATCACAGAATGCATCAGATCACGACAGCAATTCATGGCGAAACACACTAGCAACGCGCATACATATAACAGGGGGCTGGGGCCCGGGCCCCCGGGGCCGCTACTTCTACCACAAATGTTCGTGTGCGTGTCTGTGTGTGCGCGTGCGTGCGCGCGCGTTCGCGCGTGCGCGCGGGCGGGCGGGCGGGCGGGCGGGCGCGGGCACGGGCGCGCTTTCTCGCGGCCGCGAATGTCTCAAGTTTGCTCGAGCTGCGGGCGAACTACGAAGCTGTCAAGCACGCAATTCCATGGGAAGTGACCGTGCGCGTCTAGACGTGGCACGAGATAGCTTCTTCCTGTCTACACTGATAGATAAAACTTCAAAGGCTGATCAACTTGAGCCGAATACTTTCTTGCGCGGGTCGCCGCGTGAACTTAACTCGAGCTGTGGGCAAGCCGCGAAGCTGTCAAGCACACCGCTCGGTAGAACATGATCATGCGTATCTACACGTGGCGCGAGAGAGCTTATTCTCATGCTTGAAAGATCTTTTGTTGAACACCTGTTCAACTTGAGTAGTGTACTTTCTTGCGCGGGTGGTTGTCTCACCTCAGCTCAAGCTCTGGGCGAGCTGAGGGGCGCGGGCGCGCGCGCGTGCGCGCGCGTGCGTGTGCGCGTGCGCGTGCGCGTGCGCGCGTGCGCGCGTGCGCGCGCGCGCGTGCGCGCGTGTGCGCGTGTGTACGCGCGTGTGTGCGTGCGAGCGTGTGTGCGTGTGTACGTGTGTGCGTGTGCGTGCGCAGCGTTTGCGCATGTGCGTCTGTGCGTGCGTGCGCGTGTGCGTGCGTGCGTGTGCGCGCGTTCGCGTGCGTGCGTGCGAGCGCGTGTGGGGGCGTGGGTGCGCGGGGGGTGTTTGGGCGCGGGGGCGCGGGGGCGTGGGGGCGCGGGCGCGGCCGTGGGCGCGGGCGCGGGCGTGGGATTGTGTGCGGGTGTGGGTGTGGGTGTGGGCGTGGGCGTGCGTGTGTGGCTGCGGGTGTGTGGCGTGGGTGTGGGTGCGGGCCTTGGCGTGAGTGTGAGTGTGGGC